TTGTTTTATATGTGTGTATATATATAAATATAGCCAGTGTTGATTATTTTTAATTCTTAAATATTGATAATTTACGTTTTTTTTTGTTTTATAGAACATGAAAATTATTTCATAATTTGCTCATTTTTGAGAGCTTTATAATATATTTCCATATCTTTCTGATTTTATTATTTCAGTGAATTGAGTTTAGAATCTTTCATAGGTAGTGTTGCCATCTGTTTGCCCTATATGAAAAACAAAATCATGGCAAGTTACTTCACTAGAATTCTAATGCTAAATGTCCCTCTAATGTCTAATTTTCTCTAATATATATCACCATTACAAATTGATTGGTATATATTAATTAAGAATTTGGGGTGCCTAATATATATACATAATACACTATGTTTATACTATAAACTTTCAAATAACTTCAAATTTTCTGGATGTTTTGTAAGAGATTGAATTGACCCCATAACTGAGGTATCATGTGATACAACTTTCATTGCTTCTTGTTATTACATTAGGTGCCATGGAATCAGTTCCTATGTGCAACCTAATAAAACGCTGACAGGTCAGTGCCGTGCTCACAATTGTTAGATTAGAATCTCTTGCTGTAGCCACTGTGGTGTTGAGGAGCTTCCTGTTTTTTGCTGACCCTTCTCTTTGCTAAGCATGAAGTCCTTTTTTCCAGGGATTGGTCTCTGGATGACATAGTCAAAGAATAAGAGGTGAAGTCTAGCCATCCTTGCTTCTAAGGAAAATTCTGTCTGTACTTCCACCATGTAATTTAGATTTGTTTGTCCTTGGAGCCCATGGTATTTCATTATTGTTCACCAACACCATAATTCAGATGCATCACTTCTTCTCTAGTCTTCCATATTGATTGTCCAGCTTTCACATGCAGATGAAGTGTCTGAACATACCTTGATTTGGGTCAGGCACATCTTAGTCCTCAAAATGACATCATTGCTCTTTAACAAAGTGCACATTTGCCCAGTCCAGTTTTTCATTTGATTTCTTAACTACTGCTGCCAGGAGCATTGATTGTTGACCCAAGTAAAATGAAATCCTTTACAATATCAATCGTTATCATGATGTTATCTATTAGTCCAGTTGTAAGAATTTTTGGTTTTCTTTACATGGAGTGGCAATCCATACTGATGGATGAAATAATTTATTTTCATGAGCAAATCTTCAAGTGCTCTTCCCATTCAGTAAGCAAAGTTGGGTAATCTGCATATTGCAAGTTGTTAATGAGCCCTCCTTTAATCTTGATGCTGTGCTTTTCTTAACATAGTTCAGTTTCTCTGATTATTTGCTCAGCATACTAACGTAATCAAGTATTTTAAACTACACAATGTTACCTTGTTTTGTTAGAATTGCTGCCTCTTGCTAATTATATATACATATATTCCACATGAGCAAGCACAATTAAGTTTTCTGGAATTCACATTCTTCACAGTCATCTACTGTTACACTTACTCGCCTTAAAATTAAATATTTTTATTTTATATAAACTAACTTTATTTACTAGTAGTTTTTAATTTTATAATTTATTAAACTAAGAGTCACCATTTATATAATATAATATTTTAAGTTTATTAAAAATTCTCTATTTCTTTCCTTTAAGTCATATGACTTTTAAATGTCCAATGATTTGAATGTTTAGGTATTCACTGTTTTTTAAATTGTTGATTCACTGAAAAAATACATTCGTTTATAACATACCTTCTACCTAACTACCTGTAAATAGCACGTTAAAGCAAAATTATATATATGGCAATTTAATTTCAGCACCTGTTATAAAATGAAACATAGGAAAGAAAATACTTTTGTTTCATTATTAACTGAATTATAGTGCATATTATAATTGTAAATGCTGCTGCACTGAAAGATTTTTCTTTTATATATAAGTACATGGTTAAAGACTCAAAATTTCAGACAATACCTTGCATTAATGTAATTCATGACAAAAATATAGTATGTTTTTATCTAGTGTTACTTGTTTAAAGAAAAGACAGAAATTTGTGGAACATCTTAATTACTACTTGCTTACTTGTAATAAGTTCTGTTATATGCCTTACAAGTAGATCTTTCACTTTACAGATCAGTGCATCTAGGGGTCTTTTCAGTAGTCCATGCTAACATATTTATAAATGAGGTCTTCTACCTGCAACTTTATTAGAAAAATATATGCTATATGATATAAATTTAAACACACAGAGAAAGATTTAAAATTACAATAAATGTAACATAGGTAAATTTTTAATCCTCTGTGTAATTATTAACATTTACTGAACCATAACAACCATGATTATGTCGTCCAATTATGAAAGAAAGCTTTCCACTCATGTGAATTAGGACAAGGTTGACTTGAAAACTGTGGAAGAGTAGTATCATATCTATTAGAGTTATGTTCAGTCTTATTTTCAAGCCAATATTTTCTGGCAGTAATGCAGTCAGTATTCTATTTTGTATAAGGTAATTTTGACATAATGAGATGATGAGGTTCATGTTATTTTCCCATTATTTGTTTAATTGCATTCCTGTGTGGTGAGAAATGCTTTATCTTTGGTATGATCAAGCTTTCTACTGCATCTTCATCTCTGAGGAAGATTATTCTTTTTGCAAAAAATAAAAATTCATTAGAAAATTATATAGTAAGTGATTATGAGTACATTTGAATGAATTTTATTCTTGAACAAAACACTGTCTTAAGCTGGCTAATTTGATCTTTTCTTGTCTGCTTTTTAAAGATAATTATTTGTAAGGCTCTGTTTCACCGTTTCTTAATATTATGTATTTCCATAACAAAAGTTTTATTTTGATTGGAAATCATTACCTTTTCTACATACAGACACTTATTGGGCACCTTTGCAATAATGTGAGCATGTTTTTTGACTAGTACCGGGGTGGGGGTGGGACAAGTGGGAGAGTGGTTATAGCAAAGATTTAATTTATAACTGGAAAATACTCTCCCTAGTTACATTGCATATTCCACTTCTCTGTTTTTTGTAGTTCTGTGGCTTTGTTTTGTTTTTGATTTTTTTACTTTTGAGGCATCAGTGGCAATTCATAACCAACCGACAGGAAAACCATCAATCTGATCCTAGAGTTGCATGAGTCTGCAAGCTTTAACTGTGCTAGCCTTATCCATATGTAGAATGAGAGAGGATTTGAAATTTGACTACAGGCAGTGTCGAATACCATGAAATATCATTTAATCTTGAGGCTTCTGGTTACTTACAACCAGTGAGATATCAAATTATGACCAAAGCAATTAATGCCTACAAATAAATGAAAAAGTTTTTATTGATTTGATGTTTCATGGTGCGACACAGTCAAGATTAAAATAATGTGCAAAACTATGGCATAAAGACTCACTAATTATAAAATGATAAACCTTTACATAGATTTTTGTACTATATATTTATTGTATTCCACTCTATCAGGAATCAACATGACATACATCTGGTCATGTTGGACCTTATTTGGCACATTTACTTTTTTGAAATAAAAATTTTAAATATGATTTTGAAGGGGGGAAAATCTGGTAAGTTTTTGATTCTTTAATGGGCTAACGAGCCTTGTTTTTACCTATAAAGATAGTGGTTTAAATATTAAGAACTAATATTACAGTTTATAATGAAAAGCATTCCATTCTGGTTAGCTTTTCAATGTTGAGAATTTTTCATTTTGTTTATTGGACTAATACAGTCATGCATTATATGTTCTAGTATGGGCATCAACTAGGGTATCTAAGGGTATTCCTTTTGGATGTTTCCAAATGTAACCTTGTTACATTTGTTAAGACATTCAAATGGATGGGAGTGTAGGGAGTGAGTGGTAGTAACAGAGATGTGACCAGTAGCACAACTATGATTATCTCCTCCTCTTTATTTTCACACTGACTACTGGAAGCTTTTTCCTTTATTTGCTTCATTTAAAAAGAAGAGGTGTGCAACCATATTCCATTAAAGGTTTTCATATTTACTTATGAGAAAAGGAAACTTCAATTTTTGGAAGTGGATTTCAGCAGTTTTATTTCCACAACCAAACTCATTGCCATTGAGTCAGTTTAGACTCATAGTGACCTATAGGATAAGTGTAGAATGGTCCCAGTGAATTTCTGAAACTCTGTCTTTACAGCCATAGAAAGGCTCTGTCTTTCTCCCTCACAGCAGCTGGTGGTTTTGCACTGCTGGTTTTGCAGTTAGCAGCCCAACATGTAACCACTACCACCAGGGCACCTAATTTTATTTTAGTGCTTTCCTGTTTAATTATACTAGCAATTTCTGAGCAAGAGAAAATTACTTTTCTAGGTTTTAATTGGTAAATAATAATTGGAAGTTGTCCTATAGTTTGTCTCATAAAGTAGAACTTTTAGTCCATTTTGTTAAACAAAAGAGCATTTTATTTTCTATTTGGGAGCTGTTTTAATAAGTTAAAAAAGTCATATAAACTCTAACTCTTTATGCATAGTAAGATAACCTTTGTCACAAAATGTATTTGTTTATAAATTTTAGAAAACTTAGCAGTAAAGAAAGTGAATCTTAATTAACATAAAAGGCTGTCTGAGCAATATAACCCTAAAGTGAATTATTTTTCCTAACCAGGCTCATAAATTCTGCAGTGCAAAGCTAGCAAATCCATTTGTTATAGTTCAGTTTAACTTTCACTGTTATAATCAGTGTAGTACATTTGGAGATGAATAGTGGAAGTGAAAGAAAGAATGCAAGTGGGGAAAAAATCAGGGAACAGTGGTTGCTCATTCATTTCTGTGACCTACAGACACCATAGCCTCTCTACCAGAATAGGCTTCACGTAGGAGCTTGATTCACTTGCTGGTGTAGCTCATATTCATCTTCACTATGTTATTTTTATTAGGTAACATTTGTGTTTATTGCTTTTAGATTATATGTAGTCCATCTATTTGGACTATTCAGTTTGGAATTTTAAATTTGGTTTCAGGGTTCTTAAATATCTTGTGTGTTTTGTTGTTGTTTATTTTTTTAAAGAGAGTTCCCAAAGTTGCAGATGGCTGGCTCATCTCCAAATACCTCTCCAAGGTACTCTATGCTGGTGATGTCTCCCGCCACTGAGCTGCACGGGAGCATGGAATTGACTTTCTGGGGAGGGCTGTATCAGTTAAGTGATCCTTTTTAGTACATTGCATGGGTTTTGCAAAGCTTTCAGTTTGTTTTTCGTTTTTTTTTAAAATCCAGAGGGTACAACTATACTTAAGCTAATTAAAAACATTAAAGCCATGTTGCAAATTATATAAGCTATATACTCCTTCTCTCATGTGTCCTTTCTGTATTTCTACTGTTACATGGCTTTAATTATTTTTATTAGTCATGCATATACCTCTTACTTACATTTTATTAGAGTTCAGTGATTTAAGATTTATAAAAATATTCTCAATTTTCTAAGTGTTGTTTATATTACATTCAAGGAGGGACTATCAGCAGCAGCTCCACTTTACCCTCTCGCTTGTATTCCATGTATTTCTTTCTCCTAGGCAGCATGCTTGTTTGTTTGTTTGTTTAATTTATTCACGCAAATTGTGTTGAATTTGTGCTATATGCAAAACACCCCTAGCCATCTAAAAGCTTCTGTCCAAAACTTTTATTTCATTTCTTAGTTAGAAAAGAAATACATTTTAAAAGATTACAATAGGACAGAGGGTTACTCCTGCCATCGAGTTGATTCCGATTTATAGTGATACCACAGGACAGAGAAGAACTGCCTTTGTAGGATTCCAGGACTCTAAATCTATAGGAGTAGAAAGCCTCATCATTCTCTCTCAGATTGTCTGGAGGTTTTTGAACTGCTGACCTTGTGGTTAGCAGCCCAATTTGTAATCCACTACACCTCCAAGGCTCCTAGACAGAGGGGTAGAAAGTAGGAAATAAAATTATTTTAGTTTCCTCAATCCTCAACAATGGATTGACACAATGGCTGCAAGGATGGACTCAAACATAAGAATAGTTGTGAGGATTTGGTCTGGCCCCTGCCATACTACCTTAAAGGCTTGAAGGTAAACAAGCAGCCATCTAGCTGAGAAGCAACAAAGCCCACATGGAAGAAGCACACCAGCCTGTGCGATCACGAGTTGTGGAAGGGATCAGGCATCATCAGAACAAAAAATCCTATCATTGTGAATGAGGGCGAGTGTGGAGTGGAGACCCAAAGCCCATCTGTAGTCAGTTGGACATCCCCTTACGGAAGGGTCGTGGGGAGGACACGAGCCACTGGGTGCAATGTAGCAATGATGAAACGTACAACTTTCCTCTAGTTTCTAAATGCTTCCTCTCCCCCACTGGTATCATGATCCCAATTCTACTTACAAATCTTGGTAGACCAGAGGATGTACACTGACAGATAGGAACTGGAAGCACAGGGATTCCAGGGCAGATGATCCCTTCAGGACCAGTGGTGAGAGTGGCGATACTGGGAGGGTGAAGGGAAGGTGGGGTGGAAAGGGGAAACCGATTACAAGGATCTACATATAACCTCCTCCCTGGGGGATGGACAACAGAAAAGTGGGTGAAGGGAGACGTGGGACAGTGTAAGATATGACAAAATAATTTATAAATTATCAAAGGTTCATGAAGGTGGGGGGAGCAGGGAGGGAGGGGGAAAAATGAGCTGATGCCAGGGGCTTAAGTGGAGAGCAAATGTTTTGAGAATGATGAGGGCAATGAATGTACAAATGTGCCTTACACAATTGATGTATGTATGAATTTTGATAAGAGTTGTATGAACCCCTAATATTTAAAAAATGATAGCTGTGAGGTTGGTGCAGCACTGGGCGGTGTTTCCTTCTGTTGTACACAGGGTCACTATGACTCATAACTGACTATACATCACCTAACAGCAACAACAATCACCCTAATTCTCACAAGTAATGTTTTTTAACAGTTTTGTTTCTTTTATATTCATTACTTATAGTTTTAACCAATATTGAGGAATATTACCTGTGATATCTTCAGTCCTACACAGTTAGTTGTTCATAGCTCTGTGTACAAATTTTAGTTTTTAATACACTAATTCAACCTGTATGTTAAGCCTCATATTAATAACTTTGGTAGATAAAAAAAATAACTTTGTGTTCTATTTGAAAATGTAACATTACGGGGAGAAAAATATCTGTTAAGTCTAATTCAATTTTCCAAATTTTGATGAACTGATCTTAGTTCTTAATTTGTAAGATGAAGAAGTATCCAATTTAGACTAATTTCTATCAGATTCAGGTTAAGGCACAATTAAAGTTATTTTATAAGTCTTTAAATAAAAACCTCAACAAGTAGTCCCTTTTAAAAAATGAAGCTCTTATAGAACTGAGAATTTGTTTTGTTTAGTTAAAAGATACTGGGAACTACCAAACTGGTTTTCATAATTTAAGACTGCTGCTATAAAATATAAATTTAAAATTAAATACCTAATTGTTGGCAACAACAGATCCACAGGTAGCCATTCTAAATATCTGAAACTTTTTGAAGTGATATGAGAGTGGTTTATCAAAGTTATGGAGGCTGCCTTCTCTTTTGTTACTCTTGTAGATGGATAGCAACTCAAAAGCAATATTCTTTTAGATTGCCAGTAGTAATGTTACACTAACAACTTCAGTTTGTAGGTTCATTTTTTATTTGCTATTTACATAGATAAGCACTATCACTAAGAATGGAGAAAGGAAATCATGTAACAGATTCATTTATATTTTATATTCTCATGTGTCATTAATTGCTGTTGAGTAGAGAATAACTTTAGAAAATTTAGTTCCTACTATTAGAAGGTTTAATTCTGACCATAAAATAAGCCATTAGGAAAACACAGATATATTGTAAGATATGAATAGCGATCTAACTTGAAGAATATAGAACAGAATTTTAGATTGACTTTGGGTCTTAGAGATCAGGGGCCATTTTTAAGTACTAAAAATGAGGTAGGTTATTGAGAAAGATATCACATCAGTGGTCATTAAGAGATCACCTTTTGTCTAGCAAATACTTCACCCTACAATTCTGTATTTAAAATGAATTAGAGGTGGATTGGTGGGGGAAAGATTTGAAAAGCTTGTTTAACTTTGTCCTGGATTAAGATTAAGTAAATTTAAACAACACTCACAATATGAAGGCATATACCACACCTATCATTCTTCGACATTTGAAAGAATTCTGTTCATGACAACTTATTTCTTATCCTGAATAAAATTTCAAGTTGTATACTAGTCAGTTTCTTGCTTAGTGATTTGCTTTAGTAGTTATTTTTAAAAGAAATGAAAATATATTGCAAGTAATTTATGTAAGCAATAAATGAGATATATGACAGCACTAATTTAAAGGCATTATATAATTAATATATATATATATATTTAATAAATCTTTCTGTTTAGTACTGGTTACAGCCCAAATGCATATTTTATTAGTGGTTAATTTATTTGTAAGCAAAACGGAATCCCTTTATTAACTATTTTAAATTAAACTTCACTTTTTTATAGATGCAGACATAATTTTGTTACTTAGATAAGATTATAGTATTTGTGGAAAATGTATGCGAAAGCATGTTTGGAGATCCAAGTACAATCTTCTGACCATGGAAAGCTATTTCTTGATGTAAGAATTTCACTTAGGAAATGATAGCCACATAAGAGAAAATAAAGCCGAATCAAGCCAAATCATGGGTACATCCGGTTTGCTAAATAGATAAATTTATTGTGAAACATTACTGACTTGTTTAAAGTCCTGCGAGTCATGATTTCCCATTTGTTCATTTGTTTAGTTTCTCAGTGATTTGGGGATCTTATAGACAGCACAGCACATCTATAGCAAAAGTTGCACCCACCAATTATCTATTTGACCTAAGTCTGGATTTATACTTTTTCTGTCTTGTTTTCCCTCTTCTAAAATGGGGCTTTGTTATACTCCTTCATCTGCAGCAGTGCTTTAAAACATATAAGAAATTATGTTCCCTGACCACGTGAAACTTCTGAAATGTTTTAAAATAGTACTAAAGATAAAAACATGCCCTGTGCATAAGTGGCAAGGTATTTGCATAGTTCTTAACAAGATAAATTCTGGGTCATGAGTAGCTTATGCCTCAGTTTTCCCTTTGGCTACACAGATCCCTGACAGTGTTTAGTACAAACACGGGTAGTATTTATTGAAGAAAATCTTGCAGTTCACATTGCAGAAAGCAAGGAAAATTAATTGAGATTTAAAATACATTGGAGAAGTAAGTTTGGAATGTTTAGTATGGGCTAAGGTTGGATTTGGGAGTTAATTTCAAATTATAGATTTTAACTTATTAATGAGAAAAACAAATTTGTGTCTCATTCCTATTTTGTTATAGCAGTGCAAGGGGAGCTTGGATTCTTTATCTGTTTGTGTTAAAATAGTAATAGCTAACCAAAGTAGCCAACCAAAGCCCAAACCGCAGCCATTGAGTTGATTTTGACTCAGAGTGACCCTACGTCAGGTTCCTGAGGGTGTACATCTTTTTTTCCCCTCCCTCCTACCTTCATGACCTCTTGATAAATTACAGTTGTTTTCATAGCCTCATCTTTCTCCTGTGGAGTGGCTGATAGGTTTGAACCCGCAATCTTACAGTTAGCAGTCCATCACTTATCTTACAGTGCCATCAAGGCTCTTTATATATACTAGGCTTTGTGCTAATTACACATGCATTATTTCATTTGGTCCTTATAACTATACCTATCAGCTAGGGTACTCTATTGTTCTTAACTTGTAGAAGCAGTTCAGTCTTACAGCCTTACACCAGTTCAGAGTAAATATAAGTCATTTACCTAAGATTACATAGCTAGAAAGTGATTTATCTAGGATTCCAGTTCATGTCCACTTTCTCAAAAGTCCATGCTTTTAAACACTTGATGATCAGCTTCCCTTCCAAGTGGCTAACAAGCTGATGGCATAAAAAATCACTTAAATACAAACTATATTGAAGTACTGTTGTCAGGAATTTTTTAACAAGTAAGAGAAAGTAATGGGAGGATGTAGAGGGGAACCAAGGAGATTATGAATATTCCTGTTAATTTCTATTTATTAGGTTAGTAATTTTTAAGGAGCATTGAATTATATAGATATTTAGTAAAGGTTTAAAGACTATATTTCTGAGATCATTGCTATAGTGTTGGTTTTTTTTAACTAAATAAGATTTTATAGGTGTTTGGGGATTTTTAGTTATATATATTGTTGTGTATTATTGAATTAATTCCAACTCACAGTGACACTATAAGACAGATGAGAACTGCTCTGTAGGGTTCCCAAGGTTGTACTCTGTACGGAAGCAGATTGCCACATATTTCTCCTGTGGACTTGCTAATGGGTTAGAACCACTGACCTGTCAGTTAACAGCTGAATATTTAACTACTATGCCACCAGGGTTCTACTGATTCACATTTATAGAAAGGTAAATTACGTTTGTTTAGAATATTTGATATTAGAATATTTTAATATTTGATACCAGAATGCAGGCATTTTAATACAAGATTGCTTTAATAAAATGATTTATTACTACAAAAACTAACTGAATTTATAGAAAAAAATCAACAAGATGATCATCTTTGTTTAATTTACTAATTCATTTGGTCAGCACATATTTATTAAATAAATGCCTGTTTTAAATCAAATCAAGTTATTTAAAGACAGGGAGGATACAGTCTGGGTATCAGCAACCTTACTGCCTAATATGTGGGATGATGAAGTCAACAGGTAATAATAATAATGTGATATATACCTTCACTGGGGGCAAGTAAACCAAGAGTGCTGTGGCACCTGATACAAAAGGACTACCTCACTGAAGTTTGGGGAGGGCTTACTTGAAGAAATGGCTTTTAAACTATCCTGAATGGTGACCAGGAGTTGCTCACCATCATACAAGGGGGATACCCCCAGAAAACGGAAATTTTTTCAAAGCTATATATTTAAATTTTTTTACAAGCAAACTTATCACCTTCAAAGTACTCTCCATTACACTTAATTCATATGTCAAGTCTGTGATTCCATTCTTGGAAACATTTTTTAAACTTATCTGTTTGGATAGCTGACAGCACCTCCCTCATTTTTTTCCCTTCACCTCTTCTGCGTCTTCAAATTGCCGTCCTTGCATGCCCCCTCTTCATTCGCACAAACAACAAAATTGGACGGAGAGATCAGCTGAGTAAGGTATGTGGGGCAAGAGAGCCATGCTGGTTTTTGCCCAAAACTGGCACACTGAGATGGTTGCTTGAGCAGGTGCATTGTTGTAGCAAAACCAGGCCCCGGTCTGCCAAAAATCAGACATTTTTTATTGCACACTGTTACGCTATCTTTGAAGAACCTCTAAATAGAAAGTGTGATTAATAACCTGACCTGGTGAAACAAACTTCAAATGGACTACAAGTCGACATTTTCATCCTTTCGGGGAGTTAACAGATAACCAGAATGAGGTTTGTCATCAATCAACATCTCACCTTGTTGGAAACAAGAAAACCACTGGCACACTTGGATTTTTCCCATAGTGCTATTTTTGTAAGCTCTTCAAACACCACAACAGTTTCTGGGGCATTTTTCCTGAGCAAGAAAAATTTCAAAGTCACACACTGTTCTCTTAAATCGACCATCACAAAACAAGGTTCGAGCAAAACTGCTTTTTAAAAAAATTCAGTGACCAGAGAGAACTTTCCCAGGCAATGCCACTTGGTGCACTAACTCAGAACAAGTTGCTTGATGTTCACCTGGTGGGGAAAAATCTGTACTGCAAAAGACCCAATGGAGCTTTTTCTGTTGTGTAAGTAGAGTTTCTACTGGTTAATTATAGAAATAAATCATTAGAAACACCTGGGTAACTTTTAAAAGAGTAGCAGTACCTAGGTGTACACTCAAGATTCTTGTTTCTGTGTCTGTGCTGGAACCCAGGCATGAATATTTTTTAAAGGCAGCACAGTTATTCTAATGTACTGCCATTTCTGGGAATCACATACAAATCCTTCTGTCCTAAAATAATGATTACTAATGAGAGCACTTTTTGATGTTGCTGGAGTGAGATTATCTCTGGGGAGGGGAAGATTTGAGTTAAGTAAATAATTCAAAATTTAAAATTCCAGATTTACAAATACAAAATGGCAGTCTTTGTACATTAAGATTAAACAACTCTTCCAGGTAGGATTAATCATTCCAGAGAAGTGGAGAAACTGTTGAAGAGGTTCTCATTTATCTTTAAGATATATTTAGAGCTAAAATTGTTCTCATATACCTAGTACTCAAGTCCTGCCTAGAAATATTAAAACTAAAAAGACACAAACAATAGAACATTTAGTCCTGAACAGGTGCTTAATTAGCCAAATATAAAAACTTAGAATGGTAAATTCCTGAAGGATTTTTCATGGGTTTTCGACTAGAAGAGAACACATGAATTACAAAACAAAAACCAAAACCATTGCTATCAAGCTGATTCTGACGTATAGCAAGTCATAAGATTTCTGAGACCAGACATCTTTATGGGAGCAGATAACTTCATCTTCGCGAGCTCATTTTAGATGGCTGCCCTTGCAGGTAGTTGTCCAACACTTAACTGACATCACCACCAGAGTTCCTGTCCTGACCAAGGAGACTTTATGCCTAATGAAAGGGAATGCTTTGATAGCTGATGATGAATGATCAGTAAGTGTGGAATGTTAATTCCTTATATTTAGTTATAGGTTAGAGCACACATTGCTTCCTATCTTTGAAGTATCCCTATGAAGAGGGAAACTAGGTTTCTGTTTTGATTTATTTGCTTATTTTTCTGTATTACTAAATGGTAAAACAAGGGTTAGAATACAACTAGAAGAAGAAGGAGAAGAAAAAGAAAAACGCACTGCCTTTGAAGACATCTGACTTATGGTGATCCAATATAAGGTTTCCAATATTTTGTATCTTTATGAGAAGAGACATTGTCACTTTTCTCCTGAGGAGCTGGTAGGTTTTGAACCATTGACTTTGTGGTTAGCAGCCTGATACTTATTTCACAGCACCGCCAGGACTCCTTAAAGCACAACTAGTGACATTTAATTTTATTTAAAGCTAGAAGAAAGATTTATATTTGTTATTTTTTAAATGATATTAGAATAATAGGATATCAAAGTATAAGATTTTTTTTTTTAGTTTGGCCCTTTTTTTACATGAAAAGTAAATTTTATTTAACATGTTTACATACGATTTGGAAGTTCATTTAAAAGCACAGGAGTGTTAAGACAAATGGTCAAAATAGAAACATACTACCTAATGAAAATGAGTTGATTGTTGGCCACTAAGGCAGAAGGAACTCCAGGAGAAGTGCACCAATGCTTCAGTTCCTTCTGCTCAGCACAGTGAGCAGGGGTCAACCTGTGCCCATGGAATGATGGGCAGAGAAGTCTGGCATGTAGAAATAGTAATAAAGAATTCACTTGGAGCAGGCAGTATGTCTGTGGATTAAAACCTGGTGTGTACACAGTGTCTACATGTGTTACAGCCCCACAGTAGGAATCTACACCAAAGTATGTATTAGAAGGAATTTGGTCCGTCGTACTACATCACGTTTTCCAGAGGGTAAAAAATAACATCTGTCTACAGACATTTCACACTGGGCTCACAGACCGAGCCTGGCTAACACTTGCAAAATGCCTGTAAACGAAAATGGATGGCTTAGATTTCTCAGTTATTTAAGTATTGTAATTAACAAGCAAACTGTACAGGTACAGGCAGTGGACAAGCTGGCCTTTGTAGAATTAACATACACGATTAAATCACCTTTTGTTTCTTTTCTTTTTTTATTTGTTTTTTTTGTGATTTTTATTTATTTATTTTTTTACAAAATGTGCATGCAGCTTTGAACAGTTCCAAGTCCTGCTGCCCTATGTGTGTAATCACGAGGTCGAGGGGCTCATCCGAGGAGGGGACACCGCGTGCGCCTGCAGAGGCTGCAGGCTGGAGCTCCTGCACACAGTGCTGTCACAAGGCAGCGAACTCAAGGCCCAGAACAATGCAAATTGAGATTTGACTTTTTGTTTTACCACCCGCCCGTGCGTTGCCCCCCAAAATATGAGTTTTTGTGTTAAAAAAATCAAACTTTGTGCTTGCATCCATCTCGAAGAAACGTAAACTAAAATTTAATAAAAAATAAAAACAAACCAAAACATTAGTGTGGATTGTTTCCCCTGGCCTCTCGGGTGAAATACCGTCCATTCTCCTTCCAGGCAGATGAGGAAGTCTACGGGGAGACGTGCCCCGGAAGCCCTTGCATCGATAAACGTGTCATGGGATCTAGCCCATTTTTAATTTCATTTAGTTGGAGTATATTGTTGAGAAAACTGTGGTACAACCCTGCTTAAAGTTCCGTATAGGAAATGACTCCAGTCAGAACAGCGGTAGATTTAGGGTCATTTTGACACATTTTAATGCCCTTTCTACTAGAGCACACTTTGTTGCTGTTTTTCATTTTTCTTTTCTTTCCTTCAGAAGTTTATTGTTTTTGAATTTAGAACTTTCAAGTCTTGTTTCTGTTTTACTTTTATTTTGTATTACAATTTGTCTTCTGAAGGTCAAGTAACCTGGTTTGGTTATGAAAGTCCTCGTAGCTTCTGGGACTATATCAGAGTGGCTTGCCGAAAAGTCTCACAGAACTGTATCTGCAGTATTGAAAATATGGAAAATGTCAATTCCTCTAGAGCCAAGGTAAGAAACTGAAAATAATATGCAATATGTATAAGCTAATCCTAAACAGTTTTGACCCGAATAAAAAATGTTTTTGCTCTTTCCTATATAAAGTATTTTCATTGTTGGGCTAAATAGCTGACTAAGTTTAACAACCTTTGGAGGCTTTTGTAGGAGTTCCATTTTCCTCTTTCATGGTATGTAGTTATTAAGAATGCTCCTGATTTTTCACTATTGATTTATTAATGCCAGGATGGTATAGTCACTATCACTTTGAATGTCCTTTTTAAGAAGGATAATAAAACACTGTTTTCTGAAAAGTCTGCATTTCTTGAATTGTGTAAACTAGTAGTTGTTAGGTGCCCTAGGGACTAGTGGGCATGTATTGGGTTGCTAGCCCCTAGGTTAGCAGATTGAAACCACCAATCTCTCCTTGGGGGAAAAACAAGACTTTCTACTCCCACAAGTAGTTACCGTCTCTATAACCCACAGGGCCAGTTCTACCCAGCCCTGTAGGGGTCGCTATGAGTCGGAATAGACTGATGACAGTGGCTTTGTTTGTTTGATTTTAGTCATCCTTAGCCAGTGCCATACTGAACCCCCAATGTGTCCTTTATTTTAGACCCTCCATGATGTCAAAAGTATTTATATGATAATACCAAGACAGTTTTTTGTCCTTCACTAGTCTTGGCAGTGCTATTACAGAAGCAATGATGGATAAAACTGCTGATATCTCAGCATGATTGAAGGTAGTGACATTAAGATGTACAAGTAATCATTGCAGAATTTAAGAAAAAGATTATTTCCATGTAAGAATGTCTGTGACAAAGTAAGCATTGTTCATTGTATTCAGTTTTAACCCTTGAATATTCTGAGTGACAAAGTGGGAATTATATATGAAGAATTTATGCTTCAGTCTCAAGTACGATGGTTGCCTGGCACCATTTTTACATGAAAAAACAATCTGTGAACTATAATTTTGGACTCAGTCATTTGGCAGATGATTTTGCGGGAAAAAAACCCAACTAAGTGAGCTTGGTATTTCATGGGAAATATCTGATAATATTTGTTGCCAATTGTAAATGAAAATTTTCAAGAGAAAAACAGACTTTTCTAAAAATTCCATAGTATTTGATAAAATTTCCAATATTTAATTTATTGATAATAATGTTGACATTAACAAACGTGTTTTTTGTTACTGTTTTTTAAGAAACATATAAACACTTGGTTGATCTGCATAACTCAATGAAAAATTATTTCTTGCTCAATCTAAAAAATTACATGATCCACTCAAAGTTTAAGACAGACAAATTGATTTAATGTAATTGAGTACACAAAGTCCATTGTTATGACTACAGATCCAAATAAAAACTTTATGAAATTACTATTCACTGAGTTTTAAAACTTTTTGTTTAAAATATATACAGCAAATCATATACCAACCCAACACTTTTTGCATGTACCGTTCAGTGGCATTGATGACATTCTTTAATGTGCAACCATTCTCACCCTCTCTTTCCCTATGATCCCCCTCCCTCCCTGTGTTAAGCCGAAACTCACTGGCTCTTAAGTTTTCTATATAATCTTTTGAGTTACTGTTGTCAATTTGATACAATAGAGATACTTTACATTATCACAGTGATCAAAGCAGACATTTTTTATGAATAAATCTAAGCTATTTTGGGTTGAGAGAAAAATTCGAGAAACTTAATTTTTTTCCAGAGGAGTGGGAGAGTGTTTAAGATTAAAAAACTAATTGTAGTTTGAGTGAGTCAAGTCTATAAAAATAAAAAGTAACTGAGTTGGTACATTTTCAAATTAAAGGCAAGAAATTACCATGACAGGTAGTATTATAAACCCCTTCAATAGAGAAGATAAGATAGAGAATTAGCATATCTCCAAAATAAAAATGGTAAATGAGAAGAAATATTAAGAATGCAGCAAGTGGATCTGGGTAGACGCCAGAAACCCAAGTCCTAGCTGACCACCTCTCTTAATGACTTTCCTTAGCCCAGTTCCTGCACAGCAAGAAGCTTCGAAGCAGAATTTTTATTCTACAAAGAACTAGTTTTGCGTATCAATATTACAGAATAATCATGTCCTACGTCTTGAATTTATATCTTTATTTTATTATGGCCTCAGACAAATTCCATTCAATGGCAAAAAAATACATGTATAATTTCCCTGGTTATGCTTGGAAATGTCTGCAGGAAAGAAAAACTCTTAATTGTTTTTTATAAACTTGCCACTATGAGAGATCTGACAGTCTTTAAGTGTCGGATAAAACCATGAAATACATATCACTCCTTTCTGTGCTTAGTCTGACTAGTTGAACCAATTTCTCAAACCCCAAGCATAGCTTCACAATGAAAAAGAATATTTTAAATGAAGTTTATGTTTATAATTTTTCTAAGTGTATTTATAGCTAATCTTTCTATAATATATACAGGGCCCTTGGGCACCCATATTTTTATACATCAAATTAAATTTTAAACTAGAATTAGGACTCTTATAGAAGTTACTTTGCACCAACAGGTCCCAATTTATTTCACTCTCCTCTGAACTCTCCCATCTTCCTTATTTGCTCTTGGACTTCTCGTTAGCATATCACATGATCTCTGACAGAAGCCACCAGCTGGATCATTTGTTATGTATTACTGTTACTGACTTTACAGATCTTCTCATTGAGATTTGTTTTTATTGTAACCAAGAATACTAAGTATACTAAGAATTTCATGCGTCCCTTTTAATGTTTATTTTCTCTGTTTTATTTTCTTGGCCCCTAATAATAAATAAACCTTACATTGTTCTCTAGTTCATTTTCCTCCTTGTCGCTCTCTCTCTGTTGTCAGTGTGTCTATAGTCTTGTTTTGTTATTATTGTTTGTTTTAAAGTGCAAACAGTTTTTGGATAAGTTTTTACTAGATAGGCCTTCTAGTTTGTGGTTTCTTATCTTGTATATTCCTTCTGTTATTGTACTTAATATTATAGCCCAATTTCTGAATATACTAGCCATAGTAAGCATCCATATATAATTAATGTTTCTATCCAGCATGTTTTATTGAATACCTATACTATATATATACACTACATATATACACTACATATGTATACTATATACACCAGACTCAGTGTATTGACATGACATATACCCCCATACATTTTCATGACATTAAACCCCGTCTATTCTAGAGACAATTTTTCTTCTTGCTCTTGCTTACTTTTTCCCTTATTTAGACGTTGACCTTTTTAATTCTTTATCTAATTGCCTATCAAAAGAATTCGGAGCAGAGGGTGGTTTTAATCACAGATATGCCAGAATTATCAAATAATAGAATTTTATAATAATAGGCACTGGGAAAAGATTAGATGATATTGTCTCAATCTTAAATCTTCTTGAAATTTGCTACCTTTGGTTATTTATTGTAATAGTTCAAAACCTGGAAGAACCTCAGAAATATTTGGTGACCTTTCAAAATAAATAAATAAATTTTTAGGGAGAAACCAAAGAGCTTCTGATTTTGCTAATTTTTTTGTATACATTATGCATTTAAAATTCTAGCTCCATATGAATATTCCTAAAATACTGCTCATCATTCCTTTTCACCATTTATCGTTGGTACCTCCCAACAAGTAGTAAGTCTATAACCTTGAGCAAGTTAGCTACCTTAATTCCATCCATTTATTCAACAAGTATATATTGAGTGCCTATTAGATGCCATAAATTAGTATAAATACTTGGGATAAAATTGTGAAAAAGATGTCAAAGAGTAAATGTTTTGAATTTCATATTTAGTAATACAGAAAAAAAATAATTAAATACTAGTCCATGATATAATCTTTAGAGATCATGAAAAATATGAAACCATTTAAAACGTTGACCATATGCTGAGCTATACTGCACTTTAATAAATTTCTGAGCATTGAGTTTACGTACATAAAATATATTTGCTAATCATGGTGGAATTAAGCTATAATCAACAATAAAAAGATAACTAGCAAAGGCTTATATTATTCAAAATTGAGAAGTATGCTTTCAAATAATCCATTAATTAAGAGGAAAAAAAATCAATGGAAATTTTAAAATATTTTAAATTAATGATTATTGAAAATCTTGGAGTCATATTTTTGAGTTTTTATTGATTTATATTCTTTGTATTATATCCATTAAAGTCTTGTGAAAATTTGATATATGTAATTCCATGATCTTGACTATTCTGTGATTTATCTTTTCACTGTCTTAAGTGATAGCAATTTGTTCCCTAAAGTAGTAAGGAAGGTAGAGTGTGGGTATATTAACTCAACTTAGTTGGTCCGTTTGGTGGTTGGAAAGGAGTTTTTTCTCTTTTAATTCCATTTGTTTTTTGTTTTCTTCTATTGCAAGGAGCCTTGGTGGCACTGCAAGGTAAGCATTTAACTGCTAACCACAAGGTCAGTAGTTCAAACCCACCAGCTGCCTCACAGAAGAAAAATGACGCTATATGCTCTCCTAAAGATTTATTACTTCATAAATTCCATATAGGGTTACTGGGTAGGAATTGACTAGATGGTGATGGTGATATATAGTAAAATGGGGATAGTACTATAAGCTTACCCACACAGTTCTTAAGAAGATTGAAAACCTTAACATAGGTAAAACTCTTAAAATCAAGACCTGTTATTATCCCACATCTATTCTGATTTATAAGGATTTACAGGATAGTATACAACTTCTCCATATAGGTTCCTAGACTTTAATCTTTGCCTGAGCAGATTGCCAGGTGTTTTTTTTCCTGCTGAGCCACTGGTGTGTTCAAACCATTGAACAGTGAGTTAGCTACTGGGCTCCTAACAGGGCCTAATACATATTAATTAGTTAAATCCTTAAGAAATGTTGACTGCTTTTACAATTTCACCCTCACCCCCCTTTCCAGAAACCTTTAAGTAATTCATTATTATTTACTGGCAAAATCAAAATTCATTAATGTAAGTTTTCAGCTTTCCTGCATTTTGGCCCAAGTAGCTTTTATAAATCTGTTTTATCTACTATTTTTGAAAAAGTTATTTGGATGAAAGAAAAGACACCTGTTAAAATTAGCAGAGTTAATTATCACAATATAACAAGAAATTCCATAAACATCAAGGACAGGAAATTAAGTTCAGCTCAGTTCTGCATGGATTGAAATTAATATATCAGGAAACAGGATGTTCCCCACATTTCTTATCTAGCATCAGCACAGTCTCCTGTGTACAACTTGCTCTGCAAAGCAACTTTCTGTTTTTGTAGCAGTAGACATGTGTCCTTTTGATTCAAACACCCACTGTCTGATGACTAGTTGCTATGTCTTTTAGGTAAAATTTCAAGAAAATAATCTTGGTATGTTCCTTGCCTTTTCCTTCCTTTGTTCTAATAACCCACAGCTGCTTTTAGAACAAGCTAAATGGAGAAGTTAAAACTCACTGCAATCCAATTGATAGTGACCCTATAGGACAGAGTAGAATTGCTCTTGTGGGTTTCCCAGATTGTAACTCTTTACAGGAGCCTCATCTCTTTTTGCTTGTTTCCTACAACCATATAATTCTTTTGCTTCTCCTACATGACTTCTGTTCTAGCCTAACAGGTTTTACCACCTGTTTTATATATAGACCCCTCCTCTGGAATTTATGCCATGGCAGTGGGTTTGGGTTTTTGTTTTGTTTTGTTTTTTTCCCAGGAACTTATGAGTTGAAAATATTTTAAACCTTTTTCATAGATACTTTTTTATTTATTTGAATGGACGATCACAATTATTGATTAACAACCCATTGCCATGGAGTCAATTCTGACTCTTTAGGAGAGAATACAACTACATACTTAGGGAGAGTTTCTGAGACTATAAATATTTATGGGGACAGACAACTTCATCTTTCTTCTTTGGAGGGGCTCGTAGGTTGAACCACAGACTTTGTGGTTAGCAGCCCAACAGTTAACCCTTTATGCCACTAGTGAGCCTTGTGTATCAATCCCCAAAATAGCTAAACACATCGAGTAGATTCTGACTCAGAGCAACCCTATGCAGCATTTCTGAGGCTGTAAGTATTTATGGGAGTATATAGTCTCATCCTCCTCCCCTGAAACAACTGGTGAATTCAAACCACTGGCCTTGCAGTTAGCAGTTTAAAACTTACTGAACAGAGCCACCAGCATTTCTTTGTATATTGTTTAGTATTCTCTGCTGCCTTTATTCTCAAGGACCTTTACAGTGTTTCCAATTTCTATACATTCAACCTTTATGAATTTTCTATGTATTCATGAGATGGTTATGTGAAAATAAAAGTAATTGAATTATCAACATGAATATGACCTCATGTTCTTTCATTTTAAATAAAAAGAGGAAATGCTTTGAATTTTTAGAAAATTGATCAATTAACTCTAACTTTTGAATGATATCATGCCATTTCAGTAAAATGAAATAATTCAAAATAAGAATTGCATGTTTCCGTATGGATTACAACTCAGTATAAGGAAAACCAAAATTCTCATAACTGGACAAATAGGTAACATTATGATAAAAGGAGAAAAATTTGAAGTCGTCGAGGATTTTGTTTTGCTTGGATCCACAATCAGAGCTCATGGCAGTAGTAGTCAAGATATCAATCAGAGTTTGCATCTACTGCCCAAGACCACCTTCAAATGTTGAGAAGCAAGAATGGTACTTTGAGGACTAAGGTATGCCTGACCCAAGCCATGGTATTTTCCGTTGCCTGTGAAAGTTAGACATTGAATAAGAAAGATCAAAGAAAAACCGATACATTTGAACTATGGTGTTGGTGAAGAATATTGAAAGTACCATGGTCTGCGAGAAGAACAAGCATCGGTTTTAGAAGAAGTATGGAGCAAGGATGGTGAGACCTCATCTCACATACTTTGGGCATGTTATCAGGAGAGACCAGACCCTGGAAAAGGACATCATGTTTGGTAAAGTGGAGGGGCAGCAAAAATGAGAAAGGCCCTCCGGGAGATGGATTGACAGTGGCTACAGCAGTAGCCTCAAACATAAGCCCAATTGTGAGGCTGGCACAAGGCCAGGCGTTGTTTTCTTCTGTTGTACACAGGGTCGCTGTGAGTTAGAGCTGATTCAGGGTCACCTAACAGTAATAGCAACAGCAATAGCATGACTTTATGCTGGAACATGCTGACTTGTTTGTTTTTTCTGCCTTAAGTGTTTGGTAATAACTTTAGATTGTGTTAAAGATACCAAATTCATTAACTCATGATTTGTATACATTAATAAGCATGACTTTTATTGTTAGGTAAAATCTCCTCCTGGAAGGATGCTATGGTAAATTATCTTGATCTAGTGTTGTACTTATCGATCAAGAGAGACTCTTATTCTCAGTTTGAGGACTCATTTTAATCATCATTTGATTTTAGGATCTATGCAATATGATTAAAAAGAGGTCTCCAAAACAAGCACCCCAATATTAATTTTTCTGTTCCTTCAGAGAATAGAAAATTGCTCCAACATGTACCATGCACTTTCAGAGAGACAAAACATATATTCTCTCTATATAGCTGAAATCTACCTGTTTTCATCATCTTGAATATTTTTCTTTGTTTTTCAAATGTATATTTTAAATGATTTCTCTACATTTTAAATTTTTTAGCTTTTTGATGGTATAATAGTCATACTTTTTTTTTTCTATACTTGATTCTTTATTCTTCTTTTTAGGGTAGAGCCTGGATCAGAGTAGCACTCATGGAAAAACATTTATCTGAATACATCTCTACAGCTCTGAGAGACTTCAAAACAACCAGGTTTAAAAATCCTTTTTATTTTCTAATAAATATTTGAAAGCGTAATTTAGAGACATAGAAATAAAAATTGAATGAAGAGGTTTGTTTAGTTTCTCAACCCTCAGTTATTTTAGTTTATTTATTTCTCATTGCTTAAAGAACCTCGCTGCCTTCTCAGGATAGTATAATCTGTTAACTAAGCATAAACTTGGATTCAGATTGCATATTATTCTTAGGATTTCCTTTCTCTGAACCATTTCTGATTTTTATTCTTCAACCCATGACTTTTTTTTTCTCCTTGGACTTTTTCTGACCAATTTGAAGAAAGACTTAACTAAGAAATTCCTAGAGAATCCTCATCGTATCACAATGCTTTCTTCCTTTTTGCTTGTAAAGAACATAATGAATCATTCATTTCTTAAAAGTTTGTGTGTATTCAGTTAATGGTTAATTGATTTTTTTAGGATAGTTTTATCAATGCTGTTGCACACACTTAAAAATATTTTATATATTATATATTATCCATATATAAAATAGGACTTAATTTTTTTTAAATCACTTTATTAGGGGCTCATACAACTCTTATCATAATCCATACATACATCAATTGTGTAAAATACATTTGTGCATTCGTTGCCCTCATCATTCTCAAAACATTTGCTCTCCACTTCAGCCCTTTGCATCAGCTCATTTTCCCCCTACCTCCCCACTCCCTCATGAACCCTTGATAATTTATAAATTATTATTTTTTCATATCTTACCCACTCCCCTCACCCACTTTTCTGTTGTCCGTCCCCCAGGGAGGAGGTTATATGTTCCCCCTTTCCACCCAACCCTCCCTCCACCCGGTATCACCACTCTCACCTCTGGTCCTGAAGGGACCATCTGTCCTGGATTCCCTGTGTTTCCAGTTCCTATCTGTACCAGTGTACATCCTCTGGTCTAACCAGATTTGTAAGGTAGAATTGGGATCATGATAGTTGGGGGGTGGGCACATTTAGGAACTAGAGGAAAGTTGTATGTTTCATAGTTGCTACACTGTACCCTGACTGACTTGTCTCCTCCCTGCGACCCTTCCGTAAAGGGATGAAATAGGACTTAATTTTTATGATGGTAGAGATAAGGATCATATTAGGGCAGCAATCATTCCTATTAAGCTCAGGCCTGTTCTTGTTGATCTTGTTGAAGAAACCACTTTTTCAAAAGTATTTGTAAGTGAGAAAACTGTAATATCAATACTTTATGCAGGTGATGTCCAATATATTAGACAGTATCTATATGCTGCCATATAAACAAGTATATTTGAGATGAAATAAAAAGAAGAATCAGTACTTTGCTCACTATAACCATATTTAAATACTCAGTAGTCATGTGTGGCTAATGACTACCCATTTGCAAGTACACATATTTTTCTGCTTAATTTTATCAATTGGGATACTTGACTCTGTCATATAGGTCATTCTAGTGAATGGGTACTGGTAATTTTAAATAGAGCCCAAACCTAAGAATTCAAAATTAATTAAATTAGATTAAATTAATATAATACAGCAATTTGTTCCAGTGCATTAGCACATCATTGCATGGAATTTATGGTAAATCTAATCTAAAAAGAAATGAAAGCAGTAATAAACTGTTCAAGTTGCTAGTCTTGTTTCTTAGTTTAAAGGATTGGGTGGGGTAGAAATGTTTCTTGAATAGATTGTTTTTGAATGAATAGTTTAAATATATAAAGGGAAATTCTTTTTGCCTTGTTCTTAGGTGTTAGCCGCCCTTTTGATAAAAAGGAAATGATTCAACTCTACAAAAGTACATGAAGTAAAAATATTCTCATAACAAAACATACGCTTACACCATTGAAAGAGAAACATGACTTAATATATAATGTCTATATGTGAATATAATGGCAGTGTAATTCTCAAGAAAAATCAGTGTGTTGTTTCATAAATTACCTTAGAAAATGACTAAAAAATAGTTTCAAATAAAATAAAGTAATTCTTTTTTTTAAACTGAAATCAAACTAAAATGCTTCCTTATTAGAAATACTTGTGGTCAAAATAAATATATTTAGAAAACTATATTTGAAAAATGCAAGTAAGTTTTTGGAACTTCGTTTGAATCTTACCTTTTGACTGGATGCCCTGGAGGTAATTGCTTGTAGAAAGATGAGAGGTTAGTCCTGGGCTTTTAGGGGGACTTGAGAGTATCTGAGTCAACTTGATTTCTTCTTGTTCTACTCTTCACAGAAAGAGTAATGACTGACATTCTTTAGAATGATGACTTTTAACTAGTGTAGAAGGAGGAGCTACAGTAATGAAAGCAGGCAAGCTTGAACCACCAATCCCTAAAATCCAAGGTTAAGATTGGGTGGAGGAAGTGTATGTGGGGGTGGAGTAGGGTGGGATAAAAAGTATGAATAATATTTGGTTTTAGAGTACCTGATTCCAAACGCTGACAGTTTCAGTGACCCTAAAAAGCAGATGTCATGGTGAGCAATTGTTAAGGGGGAAAAAGTGGAATAATTTAATGGTTTAAATAGAGTTGAAAAGCTGGCAGAATGAGTAGAATATGGATTTTAGATATTAGGGAATTGTTTTGATAGGTTACTGAGAAGACTTGCGAATACTGGAGTAAGGTAGAAGTTGCATTATTTCCTCACAGTTGTTTTTCTCTGTCCATAGACTGAAAAATAACTGAAATGTACTCTTAAGTAATTAAGATGTGATATTGGAAGCCAGATTGAAAGTATTCTTTAAATTTGAAGTAACAAATATGGAAGAAAACAATGTTAAAAGTAGAGATAAAATTGATTTTCTTGAAACCAATGTATTGTTTTGCAGTTACATCATTAAGCTTGGTCATAATGATAATATTTGTGTTTAAATGAAAGGTTAATTTTTTAGATTCTGTCACTGTCAGAATCAGGGGATCATGTTTCTTCCCAGTTAAACATTGAGATGGTTTCTGATGCACGTAGTCAGCAGGCTCTGCAGTCCCGTTTCAGGAGCCTAGTCCTGGCCTCACTTTTTCTAGCTGTGAAATCTTGGACAAGTTACTTAATCTTCTGTGGTACTAAAAGAAGATAATGTATGTAAAGAGTTTATGACGTAAAAGCTTAGAAATATTCACTATTTTTATTAATGCCCTATGTGATCCTGTGGGCTTAGGGCCTCTGTTTAATACTTGAGAAGATCTTTCCCAATGATACACTACAAAGTTGAAGTCTCCCTCGGTTTCCCTGTAGCTGGAAACACTTTATTTTTATATTGCCGCCTGTAATTATTTTATTCTTTTCTAGACTGTAAGTTCTATAAAGGCAGAGACCATGTCTTGCTCATTTACTATTTTATCTGTAACACCTAGCACACCTTGGTACTGTGAGGGAATTCATTATATATTTTTTGATGTGCATCCTATGTTCTTAGAAATACCTTTAGAAGTTTGCCTTTTGATCATTTGTTTTCTCTGGTTTAGTTAGACTTCCAATAGAATATGACACAGTTTAAAATCTGTTGTGTGTGTCATAAATGGAAATTAATATTCCTATATGGAAATAGAAACAAAATTGGGAAAGAAGCAATAATTATGTTACAGTAGCAAGAAAACTTAAAATGAAATGTTTTTGACTTATAAATAGTCTCATATTTCAACATGCCAATTTTAGTATATAGAATAACTTCTGATTGTCAGCATGGGAAAATTTGAAGGGTGCTGTTGCTCAGTAATAACAAAGTCTGTGCTGCTTGTTCACCTTGTACACTGTCCAGAGGGTGTTTCTAATTCAAATACTTGCAAGGCCTTAAAATAGTCTTAAAGAATGAACACTACAGATAGCATTATAGAATCATAACCCAATTAGAGTGTAATGATTTGTGATTCTAACTCATAGTTACTTAAATAACTGATAATAAATAATATACATAATTAGAAGTATTTCTTTTAAAAATAAAAGTAAACACTTTTGGTTAAGTTTTCAACTGGAGCCAGAATGTGGACAGTTGAACCCACTAATCACTCCTTGGAGGAAAAATGTGGCAGTTTGCTTTTGTATCCATTGCAACTTTAGAAATCATGTAGGGCAGACCTGCTTTTCTCTATAAGGTCACTCACTATGCATCAGAATTGACTGCCACGATAGGTTTGGGTTTGGGCTTGGTTTCTTCCAAACCATAATAATATCAAATAGTTTCTCACAATTTTTATTTGCTTCTAAGGTTCAAAATTGTATTTAAAGGTAGAGTCTAACATATAAATCTAAAAATGGAAGCTCCTATTTCTTTGAACTGTAGTATTTCAATATTTATAATACATTCTTGCAGTTTAGTATGCTGTCTTGGTTAGAGCCTTAAAATATTTTCTTTAGAACAAACAATGTTTTTTTTAAATAAAAAGAATTTTTTTTAGTGTGTACCGTATTATTATTGGATTAGTAGGCATTTCAGACTTTATTCTTGGCACATTTGTTGCCAAGTGATAACCTTGCTTACATAAGCAAACACTAATGCTTCAATTTTACTGTGAGATAAAGCGAAATTGAAAGTTCACAACATTTTGAAGTCTTTGAAAGTGTTGATAGAAAGAACCAGTCAAAATTATTGATCTGTATGATAGATAACTATCTTAACGAGATGATTCCTTTTCTCTCTGTCTTCTTTGTTGGAGAGAAGGCCATGTTATACCCGTGCAATATTGTGCTTGAGCACGGTAGTCAATTAAATGGATTTCTTGATTTCAAAACAACAGTATATACTAGAACCAAAAAAATTTAATAATATCATATGTTCACATACTATAAAAAGACTTTTAGGCTTTTAAAAACACTCTAAAATCAATTTTGTTTACTTTTAGTATTCTTCTAATGCAGTGGTGGCATCAGGAAGCAAACAAGGATAGTTTTGGTCTGATTCTAAAAATATACTTTTAAGCTTTGATGGACTCAAGATAGAGAATTTAAAAATAGGGTAATACTAGATGATTAAGAAAACCCATGAATGCGTAGGACCCATAGAATTTAGCGCTCTGGAACCATTGAAGACATAATTATTTTGAGAGTAAGTAAATGTTCTATTAACAGCCAATTTATGCTGTAGGACAGGGACACAATCATAGATATGTAGGCTTGTCTAAAATGGTGCAGGACCAGGTAGTGTTCTGTTCTTTTGTGCATGTGATTGCTATGAGTTGGGATCAAATTGATAGCATCTAATAACAGAATCATTACCTTTTTGTGGAACACCTTAATATATTAGGTAAACAATGTTTCCATTTATTTTAGTAATTTTTTTCTTGAGAGTGACAGAAGCTCTGGTGGCACAGTGGGCTTCACAATGAGCTGCTAACAAGAGCAGCAGTAACTTAAAAGATCAAACGGTGAGCCCACTGATCCCTCCATGGATAAAGATGAGGCTGTCAGCTCCTGTAAAGATTTAATCCTGGAAACCTAAAGAGTAGTTCTGCTCTGCCCTATAGGGTCATTATGGCTCATAATCAGCTTGTTAACTGCGGGTTTGGGTATTTTTTGAGATTGGGAGTTGTAGTTCTTTTCCTTTTGTGTAAATGGATCAAAGCAATGTGCATTGCCCCTAGTTTTGAAAATAGAGTAGTATAAGTGACTATCAATTTAACCATTTAATGATTGTATTGATAATGTTTCATTTTAAGAGAATAATTCTGAGCACAGGGAGCCCATTCATAGAGTCACTTTGATTTTAAGAATAGTGTAAGCATTGGGACAGAGTAGAATTTGTTATCATTGCATGGGTTTCCCTAAATATTTATGTAAGATTTGGTGATAAGAAATTAAATATGTAGTTTTTCCTATACCACATTGGGCTCTAGGTAATTATTGAAGTGCAAAATTCAGTCTGGTTTGGAATTTATATAGTCATTCTTTTCATTTTCAGAAGATTTTATGAAGACGGAGCAATTGTCCTCGGTGAGGAAGCAAATATGCTTGCTGGCATGCTGCTTGGACTCAATGCTATTGATTTCAGGTACTTCGTTAATTCACATGTATTGTTTGTAACTACTTTATGATTTTTCTTTCAGTGTTTTGTCAAAGTCAAGCAAATGCTTGGATATGTATATTTGATTCATATTGTTCCCTTTCAAATGACATCAGTTAGATTTCTCAATGGTTTGCTGTCTTGGAAGAGTCTTTCAAATTTCAGAAATTAACTGATGAGTTTTCTTTCTAGCTTATAACACATCTGCCCAAGCAGCAATATTTGTGCCTTAGTAACACTGAGAAAGGTTTTTTTATATTGTTTTTTAGTATTTTTTAGCTACCAGTTTAAAATGAAAAGTAGATTAAAGTATATACAGAGCTTGGAGGATTCTTACTATCTTACGTGTTGAGATAAAGAAGAGCATGACAGAATATCTCTGGTACCTTATGATTCTTACATTATTTATAGATCTAGAATAAAAAATTATATTGTCCACATTTGCTTTTATTTTTAACAGTTTCAAGACTAAGACAACACATTCTAAAATAGGACAATTTTAAGGATATTTTAAGATTTATGGAAGCATTAATTGATATCTGTTTCACTCCATTCTTCACATTATACTAACATAAACAATCTGTTTATAAAAAGAATGCAAGTCAACAAAACTCACATGGAAGAAACACACCAGCCTGTGTGATAATGAGGTGTTGATGGGATCAAGTATCAAGGACCCAGGGGAAAAAAACAACCATATCGATGTGAATGAGAGGGTCGGGGGCAGAGTGGAGATCCAAAGCCCATCTATAGACAATTGACATGCCCTCACAGAACAGTGACAGGGAAGAGATGAGTCAGTCAGGGTGCAATATAGCACTGACGAAACATGCAGCTTTCCTCCATAGTTGTTTAATACTTCCTTCCCGCCCCCCTTCTCCCCACTATCATGAACCCAATTCTACCTTACAAATCCGGCTAGACCAGAGCATGTACACCAGTACAGATAAGAGCTGGAAACACAGGGAATCCAGGATAGATAAACCCTTCAGGACCAATAATGAGAATATAGATACGAGGAGGGTAAGGGGAAGGTGTGGGGAGAAAGGGGAACCGATCACAATGATTGAACAGAAAAGTGGGTGAAGGTAAACAGTGGTCAGTGTAAGACATGAAAAAATTTTTTTATAAATTATCAAGGGTTTATGAAGTAGGAAGGGGAGGGGAAGGGAAAACGAGCTGATACCAAGGGCTCAAGTAGAAAGAAAATATTGATGACAGCATATGTACAAATGTGCTTGACATATTGTATGTATGGATGGATTGTGATAAGAGCTGTTAGAGCCCCCCAATAAAATGATTAAAAGAAAAGGGGAAAAAGGAATGCAAGAATAAAATAATGGAAATCCTAAATTTGTACTGAGAGAATTTGAAATAATAGTACTTGAATATTCAAGGATATTAACAAAAGAAACAAGGCAAATGAAAATTAAGATAATGCTGCATATTTTCACTGAAGTTACCTTTACTAGTAAATAGCGCTTTTTAAAAAATATTTGTCCTTTCATGGGTATAACTTCTCTGCTTAAGTTTTAATAAATTACTAGGCAAATTGGTATAAATTTTTAGGATGAGTATGATAGATCGTAGAAGGAAGAGTTTGTTTTTTTTAAACATTTTATTAGGGGCTCATACAACTGTTATCGCAATCCATACACACATCAACTGTGCAAAGCACATTTGTACATCATTCTCAAAACATTTTCTCTCCACTTAAACCCCCGACATTAGGTCCTCATATTCCCCCTCCCTCCCCGCTCCCCCTCCCTCATGAGCCCTTGATAGTTTATAAATTGGTATCCTGTCATATCTTGCCCTGCCCGACGTCTCCCTTCACCCACCCTTCGGTTGTCTGTCCCCCAGGGAGGAGGCCACACACAGTTCCTTGTAATCGGTTCCCTCCTTCCTACCCACTCTCCCTTTACCCTCCCTGTTTCGCCACACACACCACCGGTCCTGCAGGGCTCATCTGCCCTGGATTCCCTGCACCTTCAGTTCCCATCTGTACCAGTGCACATCCTCCGGTCCAGCCAGCCTTGCAAGGTCGAATTCGAGTCATGGTAGTGGGAGCGGGGAGGAAACATTTAGGAACTAGAGGAAAGTTGTATTTCTCATCGTTGTTACATCGTACCCTGACTGGCTTGTCTCCTCCCCGAGACCCCTCTGCAAGGGGATCTAAGGAAGAGTATTTTTCTGATCCCTCTAAGAATGTGAACTTTGGCATGGCACCCTGATCCCATCTAAATTCCTTACAGTTTCCCCACCCACTCGAGAATAAGTATAGGATCTTGGCCACATACTAACATCCAAAAAGACCCACCAGGATAAGAATTGTAACTTTTGGCTTAGTATAACCAGTTGAAAGCATATGTCTAAAAGTTAACATCATTAGATTTCTGTAAATGAAGGCAAACCTATAGAAAGTGTTGCCACTTTGATCTCTTTATTCGTGTTTGGAAAAATGTATGCATTCTTAGTATTGACATATTAGAACAAATATTTCAGCAGACCAGCTACCCAAAGAAACCAGAAGCTGAAAATTCTTAGATGAACTCTAAAATGTACTTTAACATTTTGAGCAAAACTAAAGGGCTTTTGTTAGCATTATTGTATCACATATATCATCATACAAAACAAAGATCATGATTGTGGAACCAGGTGACTGAACGACCCCTGGTGGTTCGCTTGAGTAAGCATTCAACTAACTGCAATTTTGCAGTTCAAACCCACTAGTCGCCCCAAAGGAAAAATAGGCCCTTGTAAAGATTTACAACCTCAGAGACCTTTGCTATAAAGTTGGAATACACTCAATGGCAGTGGATTACTTAGCTTTAACAGACTCATCATCTGACTTTGGGCAAAAAACACTTGACACATGCCTTGTTGTATGTTCTCAAAAACATCTGACTTTCAGGTAGATTCAAGGATTTTTAACATTTTCTAGGTTTAAGAGGCAAGGATTTTCAATCAGGCCATCCTAGTTTTCTCATTAATCAAAATTTTACACGGCATTTATTATCTCCTATGAATTTATGTCTAAATATGAAGAACATGTGTTCATCTGAAAATTCTCTAATGGCTTTTAAAAATGCAGTAAAGACTTTCCACAACACCCAAGCTCACTGCCATCGAGTTGATGCTGACTCCCGACGACCCTACAGGACAGGGTGGAACTGTCACCAAGATAAATAAAATAAAGTTTTTGAATATTTTTCTCAGTAAATTTTATTATTGCTTGATACATTTATATAACAGTATATTATTTTGCAAAATGCTTTGTTACTGTATTAAAGGCAGACTATATTGAAGAACTTATTTGTAACATTTTAAAATTAAATTGCAAACAAAATTAACCTGCAGTCAGATAAAAGCAAATGCCTGTAGCAAGAGATTGTTTGTAACACTTATATTTGATTTAAAATTTCATATATTAATATGGAACATTTATTGTTTATTAGCTTCTGTCTAAAAGGAGAAGGATTGGATGGCAGCTTTCCTGCTGTAATAGACTATACACCATATCTGAAGTTTACCCAAAGGTATTTGATATTCGAAATATTATTGAAATTTCAGAACTCACTCACATGATATTTTTAGGGTACATCGATTCTATATTTAATATCTCTGTAATTGCATCTTTAACATATAACTTTGATTATTTCCATAAGCTTAAAGTCTAGTAATGGAATTTCTGGGATAAAATGTGGTAATAATTTCTTTTAGAAAGATTGGGGGGAGTAGGGAGGGAGGGGAAAAAAATGAGCTGATACCAAGGGTTCAAGCAGAAAGCAAATGTTTTGAGAATGATGATGGCAACAAATGTACAAATGTGCTTGACACAATGGATGTATGTATGGATTGTGATAAGAGTTCTATGAGCCCCCAATAAAATGATGTTAAAAAAAGATATCCTTAAAGCAAATGAGAATAAAAATAACACTACATCTAAAAAAAATAGAAGGATTAGTACCAGACTAGAATCAAGGAATGAGAGATTAATAATTTCCCGAATGTCCGGCTTTTCCAAGGTGATATTCTTCTCAATCCGCCCCACCACCACCACCACCCCATCTCCTCCTTTAAATGTATTACCTCACGTCTCTAGGCTCTGTGATTCACTGCTGGATTGGATCCTGTTCAATTCAAAATCCAAAGGCAGAAGTGAGCCACCTGCAAGGTCCATAGCCAGAAGCTAAAAAAGTCCCAAAGTCACAGCAGGTCCTCTTGCTTCTCCAAACCTCAGTCAGGAAATAGAGGTCTGGCTTTCCAGTTGAGGGGATGTGTATTTGAAACATACATGGCGGAGCCGTTATATGTCCAAGGAAAGTAAAGGATGCTGGTTTAAAGATGCCATCAAGAATAAAGGATTGGCTTGGCTCACACCTGCACTAAGGATGGAGTCAATGCCATCAATTTAAGAAGGGGTGTGGCTTGGTTCATACCCTTTACTAAGGTGGGGTCTTAAAGATGCCCTCAATGAAACAAAGGGTGAAGCTTAATTCATTCCTCAACTAAAACTCTGCCATCTATTCGATGCCAATTCATAGTGATCCAACAGGACAGGGTAGAACTGCCCCTGTGAGTTTCCAAGACCAACTCTTTATGGCCTTCAGTATGATAAGATTTTGAAACTATGCCTAAGATTTTCAGTGGCTCTTTCCCTGGAAGTGGGGAGCTGAATCTTTGTTGGATGTCTGTTCTTAGTCTAGAAGGTTCACTGAAACCTGTTCACTTTGGGTGTCCATGCTGGCATTTGAAATACCAATGGCATATCTTCCAGCATTACAGCAACATACAGGCCAGCACACTTTGACAAACTGACAGACAATTGTCGTGCCAATTGAGTTTCGGTCATCCTATATTACAGTGTCTGTTTTTCAATCATGCTAACAAAGAATTTAAAATATAGCTAATTGTGTAACTGAAAAACATGTCCTATTGTTGTGTTAATTTTCACTGATTCGATTGTAAAGTTAATAAACTTTATTGAACATCAGTATTTTTAAATACAGATTATCTTTGTGAAACTAAAATATGAAATATGTAAATAGCAAAAACTAGGTTACCCACTGGTTAAGCTATTGGATGCTAACTGTAAAGTTAGTGGTTTGAACCCTGTAGCAGCTCTGCAGGAGGTAGACTGCTACAGAAGGCAGTTTGCTTCAGTGAGCTACAGCCAAGAAGACCCTAGGGGAAGTTCTCATGTCACCTACTGTTACTACGAATTGCAAATCATCTTGGTGACTCCTAACAAGTAAACTTAAACTGAAGTAAAATAAATTAATCATGCAAATTCTTTGAGAAAGGTATATTTGAAATATAATTTTCGAGGATTTTTGTTATTGTGGTAGGTAATTAGAGATGTTGTCTATTAGATTATACTTGTTAATGGTGCATTTGAATTTTCTGTGTCCTTTAAATATTGTATTTCTTGGTGTTTTAAGTTACTAAGATGATGTGTTAAATTAACAGGTTTTCCTTGTCTATTTTCATTTTTTACTTTATAGATGAGCATTTTGAAGTTCCATTAATAAGATGTACCCAAGTTTAGAATTCTTAGTTTCCTAATGTAATGAGTTATTTTTACCCATATGTAGTAAGCATCCATGTTTTTTTAAGTCTGTTATATTTGATATTAATTTTTTATTGTTGTCAATGTTTTTTGTATATTTTATCCTTTTTTCCATAAGCCATTTAATGTAGCATACTACATTTCCTGTGTTAAGTATGTTGTTTTAAAGTATTACTTATTTGGATTTCTAAAAATATTTTAATAGAATGTTTAATAAAAATACTTTAAATATTTTAGAAACTAATTTGTTTTACTAGTATATTTGAATAGATATCTACTATTGCATTTTAACTTTAATTTATCTTGCCTTTTATATGTATTTTTTGTCCCCCTTTTGTCATTTTTCTTTTCTTCCTTTGATTTACACATACACACACTCCACCATCACCACCCCATTTAATTTCTCTACTAGTTCCTGAGTTACAAATTTTATTACTCTTCTTTTACTGATACCCTGTTAATTTAATATGCATATTTGAAATTTAATAAAATCTAAAGTTAATATCTTTATCTGACTTATATGCTATTTTGATGTAAAATTTTAGGCTATCATTAATTTATTTACAATTCCATAGCGGTAGGCAACATAGTTAACTGTTTCAAATTTTCAATATTTATTTAAGGTTTGTCCATATGCAGTCAATTATTCTGCTTACTCTTTCGTCGTGTAAAATAGACCTTCCCTATTTGGTCACTTTTCTTCTTCCTGTACTATAATCTTTGAATAATCTTTTAATTAGCATTTGTTAGTACATTTAATAATTTTTAGTAAATCTAGGAAGATAATTTTGCTGGACGTATTATACTAATGTGGTAGTTATTTTCTGTTATCATTTTGAAAATATTTTTAGTAAATATTAAATATATATAATTACACATCCCATAATCAGCTCCCAATTTAAAAATTCTCTCTTCAATTGTATATAAATTGATGATGCATATAGTTTTAATTTCAATGGTCCATTTTTTTATGTTTGTGTGTATATGCTATATGGTATTTTTCAAAATTGGAATTTATCACCAATCACTGCTTTCTCTGGCCCAGTGAAAGCTTCAGCTATGGCAGGCAAATATCCTTGGTCTATATTTATTTACTTTCTAGATCACGAACTGAAAACACACAATTGACATTATTTTCTTTAAAATTGTTACTCTTCCCAGTTCTGATAGTATCAGCAGTGATGAGGAAGAGCTAAGGACCTTGGGAAGCAGTGGTAGTGAAAGCAGCACTCCAGAGAATGTCGGACCTCCTTTCATCATGGATGAAAACAGCTGGTTCAACAAGTGTAAGAGAGTCAAACAAAAGTATCAGCTTACCGTGGAACAAAAGGTACTTTTTACCAATCTATAAAGTCATTAATTTGATTAGAAGTAATATGTTCAGAATGTTAACCGCCAAAAGATCATTTTTCTGAATAGAATTGCTTAGCCATCGCTACTTCTTTTCTGTTCTTCTTAGTGAAAAATTAGACAGAATTTTAGAAGGGGCTTTCGTTTACCAAAATTTTTTCTAATTTCATGTTTTAATCCAAAAGCCATTTATTACAAAATTTTAAGTACTTGTGATTTTCATTCAATGATTACTTTTATAAAACATTATTGATTTGTGAAAATGCAGTGATTGGTTGAGTACAATCCTTGTATTTCTGATTTTTTAATCAGGTAATTCAGCATCTCTTGTGTCTTATGCCTAATACGAGGCAGAGAGGAGGGCATAAAAGAAAAATGAGCTCCAGCCGCTTGAATTTGTAACCTCTGCCTTTGTTACTCCGTTAACTCATTTTCCTTTCTCTTCTTTAAACACCTTCAAAACTATCATGATTCATAAATGATATTATAGTGAGCCCAGTGGCATTAACTATGGAAGTATTAGAACTGTAAACAATACACTGGGGAAAAGAAAATTGATTAAAACATAGATTTACAAATATGAATAGCTTTATAAATTCCAAACAGCTATTTGTTAGAAAACAAAAATATTTCATTCATAAAAACAAGCATAATATCTATAAAGAAAACTGAAAAATTCTGAAAACTAATCTATTTAAGAAATATGGAAATGCTGAGACAATGCAATTTTTCAAAATTTTATGTAGAGCTGAGCTCTCAAAAAAAGAAAAAAGAAACTCACCACCCACCAGAAACCTGGTGGTGCAGTTAACATGGGTAGGATATTTGAGTTCAAGCAAAGTTACCCCAGATCTACTTCTGAAAAATTACCCATTAAAACCCTATGGATCACTGTTCTATTCTGACACATCATGAATCAGAATCTACTCAGTGGAAGCTCGTCGGTTTAAGAAAAACAACAACTCACTACTATCAAGTCCACACCAACTCATAGTGACCCTGTAGAACTAACTGTTCCTGTGGATTTCCGAAACTGTAACTCTTTACAGGAACAGAAAGCCATTCTTCCTCCCAGGGAATAACTGGTGGTTTCCAGCTGCTGATTTTGCAGATCTCAGTGTAATGTGTAGCCACTATACCATCAAGGTTCCTAGTTGGAAGAGGGCGTAAATGAAGGGATCTATAAATGCCACTGCTGACCCTGGGGGAAGTGGGGTCAGTTACTTGTATGTTTTAATATCAACAAAGAGTATATTTTGGTTCACGGTCATTCAAGATCAAAATTTGACCTAGAAGGCAGGAAGTAAAATACAAAATTACAGAGTAAGCAAAGAAATTGGTAACTAAACCTTAGCTAAATAATATAATAAAACCAGCAGTGACAGTGACCAGGTTGGGGTAGCAGTGGTGTGCTGATATATATTTAACAGCTGGTTTTCACAGGGAAGATGGGGAAGGAGCTCAGATTTGTAGTATTTGTAGCATTTGCCAATTATAGTAAATATATTTATATTATAATATATAATATAGTAAATTATGGTAAATATTCCCACTATAGTCAGTCTAAAGCTACCAGTGTGTCAACACTGTGAAGGCAGAACTGGAAAGAGATGCACAAAACACCACTGTGTATTATTTCTACCACTCAGGTACATAAATGTAAATTACCTCAAAAGCATGGATAATAGTAAAATACAGTAAAATAATTAGCAAGTGGTACCTTTTGAGTAGGTACTGCTTTTGTTTTTAAAATTATTTACTTAATCACAAGATTATTTGATTTTTCGTAATAGTAGTATTAAGACAACTGACTCAAAACTTTTAATGTATAGCTCTCAAGTGACCATACAATATGGCTGTAGGGTACCACTGGGTTATTAAAACAGTAGAAAATTACACAGGAAAGGGTGAGAAGGGGATATTTTATCAAACTTTAGAAAATAGTTTTAATAATAGAGCACATATGTTAAATTTGTCTATTATTCTATCAGTGATACTCCAAAGTAACACAATAAGTAGATAAATAATATTTAAATAACTTAGGATTGATTTTCAAGACATATGGAGAATTTTGCAGTTGCTATATGTGGTGGTTACATAATCTGGTGTCAAATTGAGGATTAAGAGTGTAGAGGTGGATTCTAGCCTGTCAATCACAAGGTATAGCCAACGAGGCCTCTAAGTGAGCATGGCCTTCTCCAGAGAAGTCTGTGAACTCCTGTATTTCCTCCTTGGAGGCGGGAGACACTCTCTCTCTGCTGACTCCCTGTGAGACATCTCTGTGGAGAAGACACATAGAGAGAGGCTGATGGAGCCAGACCTCTGGAGCTGGAGGAGCCACATGGAGATCCTTGCCAGCAATGAGATGCTTCTACTACCACTGGATCCTCAAGAGTTTGCACCCACTGGCCTGGGATCTTCCTGTATTTGTCATCATTGCATGTGTTTTGTGAGTCTGAAGAGGATTTTATAGTTTGGTATTGGACATATGGACTTGACCTGGACTGGACTAGGATGTTTTCTCAGTATTCAATTGCTCTTGTATATAAAGTTCTTTCTTATACACATGTGAGTGTCTATAAATTTTGTTTCTCTAGTCTACCCGGACTGACAAAGTATATATTGTTGATACTGTATTTCCAGGGTTATCTTGAAGAACTCTTAAGACTTCGAGAGAACCAGTTATCTGAATCAGTCTCCCAGAATAAAATATTACTTCAAAGGATTGAAGATTCTGATCTGTCCCATAAATTGGAGAAGGAGCAATTAGAATATATAATTGTGGAGCTTCAAGATCAGCTGTAAGTGAGACACTTTTGGAAAATGTTTGGTAGTATGTGAACATCGGGAAAAAAACGGAGTGTTTTTACATAGAAATCAAATTTCCCCAAAATCTGATTCCAGTAACCAATCATGATTAAATTCTTTTTCATTTATTCTTTATATGTCTTTTTGTTTTTCTTATTACAAAAGTAATGTATGGTCATTGTGGAAACATTAAAAAATACAAGAACAAGGAAAAAGCACGTGTAGTCTTGTTACTCATTGATAACCGCTATGGCTTGATCTATATTCTTCTAAATGCATATGCGGTTTTTTTAAGTATTGATTGTTTCATTAATTGAGTGCATGAAGTTGGTGTATTAATACTTAAAAGTGCCAGTATATAAACTGTTTATATACTGATTGTTGCATTAATTGAGTACATAAAGTTGGTGTATTGATACTTAAAGTGCTAGGATATAAACTGTGCTATCAATTTGCACCAGAATGTGACTAAGCAGATTTTAGTACCACTGACTTTAATTTTTTTATAGCAAGACTTTGATAAAGCCAAGTATTGGTTTACTACATTCTTATACTTACATATAACCTTCTTAATTTGCCACCATTGAAATCACTTACACTAGGCATACCATTTTGGCAAACTTGCTTTTATCAAGTTTATGATGATACTAACATTTTAAAAGTTGATCTTAAAGTTTTAATTTGAAATAAATTTAAACTTTAATAAAAACTGTAAAAATAGAACAAAGAATTCCTGTTTGTCTTTTCCTAGATTTCACTTTTCAACATTTGCCATACTTACCTTTTACTTCTCTGTCCCCTTATACACATTAGGTTTTTGAACCACTCAAGAGGTTGCATGCATTGTGCCCCATTACTCCTTAGTACTTCAGAGTGTCTTTCCAAAGAACAAAGGTATTCACTTACATAGTCACAATACAGTTTCTGTTTAGGAAATTCAACATCAAAGTTTACTTTCATCTTATCTATAATTCATATTCCAATTTTATCAATTGTTCAAATAATGTCTTTCATTGCATGAGAATCCTGTTTTACTTTTATTTGTCAATCTCTTTAGTCCCCTTAGAAAGGTTCGATGTTTGTTTTGCATGAGATTGACCTTGTTAAATAATAAAGGTTCCTCATTTAAGTTAGTACAAACAAGGCCGTCACTGGTCTTTTAGTTTGTTGAACTGTGGGAGTTTATGGGTTGCTATGATGCTATGAGCTATGCCATTGGTATTTCACATGTGAACAGAGTCAACCATGGTATATAGGTTTGAGCCAAGTGTTCAGAGTAAGACAGACTGGGAAGAGGAACCTGGCTATTTACTTTCAGGAGCAAGAAAACCCATGGATAGCAGTAGAACACTGTGTATATAGTGCTGGAAGACGAGCCCCTCAGGTGGAAGTTACTCAAAAATATAACTAGAGAAGAACTGCCGCCTCAAAACACAGTTGATCTTAATGCTGTGGAGGAATTAAAGCTATTGGGACCTTCTTTTGCTGGTGTGACATGACTTAATGTAACAAATTAACTACAAACATCCATTAGTAATTGAAACTTGGAATGTACGAAGTATGGATCAAAGAATGTTGAAAGTCACAAAAATGAAATGGAATAGTGAGTTGAAATGGAATGGTATTGACCATTTTGAATTAGACATTCATATGGCCTACTGTCCCAGGAATGACAAATTGAAGAGAGCAATGTCACAAGTGAAAGTTCAACATTGGATAAGGAAGATCAAAGCAGAATCAATACATTTGAGTTTCGGTGCTGGAGAAGAATATTGAAAGTACTGCTAAAAGGACAATCCATTCTATATTGGAATAAGTACAGCCTTAGAGGCAAGCATGGCCAGAGTTCATTTGACAGACATCAGACATATTATCCAGAGAGACTAGAGAAAGACATCATGCTTGGGAAAGTGAAGGGACAGTGAAAAAAAAGCCCTCAAGATGGATTGACACTGTGGCTGCAATGGTAGCTCCAGCTTAGGGGCAATTGTAGAGTTGGTGCTGGACAAGGTCGTGTTTTATTCTGTTGTGCATAGGGTCACTGTGGGTTGGAATGGTTGTGATGGCACCTAACAACAGTGTCACATTTAAAGAACTATCCTGAAGTGTAACATCACCAGTTGCATGCCTAAAAGCAAGACCTGTTAAGATGACTGGTTCTATCTTTCTTTTTTATTTATTTATTTATTTATTTATTTAAAACATTTTATTAGGAGCTCATACAACTGTTATCCCAATCCATACACACATCAATTGTGTAAAGCGTATTTGTACATCATTTCTCAAAACATTTTCTCTCCATTTAAACCCCCG